CAGGGTTGACGTGATTGGATTCTCAATAAACGTTATTGTGAGTAACATTTTACACCTAAAACGTTACTCACAGTAACGTTTATTCATTTAACGTCGTCAGCTCCGTCAGTTTTTGTCCGTTGAATTTTTAAAATAAAAATAACCTAAAACGTTACCATGAAGTACGTTTATACTACTTTTGTAAAAAATTTAAAAAGCGTATTAGTTTGGTGAATTGGTTTTTAAAATAGCTTATTTTGGTCAATGCTTCTGAATTTCAACTTCGCTTTGAATTGTTATGCTTGTAAGTATGTGTTATTTCTAATTAAAACGATCCTTAAGGTCATTAATTAGCTCAATCCCCTCGACCGCTCTACTACCAATCTATCATGTAAAAAGACGTTGATACTTGCCCATGGTAGACATTAACGGCAAAGTCATGAACTTCACTAATTAAGAGCGTTCAAAATGTATTATATACATATATAATTTTTCGATAAAGAGTGTTCAACTTACACGACTGCATTAGGGTTCCAATGAATGGTATAGTTATGGTAATCAGCAGTTGGATCAAACCATGGATAGAATTGTTGTTCCCTGCCTCCTGCACCTTGAGTAAATATATTTGTGTGTATAATATATGGTTGTCCTGATACATTTCCTAGAAACTCAAAGTCAATTTCATCATGCTTGTCACCAGTTGAGGATAACTGTGGAATTAAAAACCAAAAATTAGATACTCCCTTTGTAATAATACATATATTTAGCAACATGAATTACACTTAAGATGTGTTTGATACGAACACAAATGTTTTTTCAAGAAATATATATATTTTCGTACAAAATAAGTAATTTTCTTACTTATCTTTTGGTATTTAATTAGTACACAAAAAATAACGTCCAAAGAATATTTTTTATATTTGATACCATGTTAAAGAAATATACATAGAGCCTATAGCTCAATCACAAAAGTTAATTCATAAGGAGAGAATTTTTCAAGACAATATAAAAAGACCAAACACAGAATCAACGATCTACACAAACTCATGGTCGGGTTCGAGTTCCCTACGGTACAAAGTTGTTTTTGTTAGGAAACGATTTATCCTCGATGTAGGACTTTCCGGCGCGAATCCAGATATAGTCGGACTCCAATGTGGGTACCAGACACTAGATGAGAAATAAAAAAATAAATAAAAAATCTTGAATCTTTCAAGTTTTATTGATTATGTTATATATTTTGAATGCATATTAATAAGATAAAAATAATAATTAAAAGGACTACTATATATATGATATAATTTGTTGCATACTTGCATTATCTATTGAAGATTATTTAAGGTGACACTTACATAGTATG